CTAACGCCAAGGGTCCACTCAATATCCCGCGTCTTCTCTAAGGTTTCTCCTCACTGTCCTCCAATTAGACTCCTTGTCCGACTCACCCACTTGACACCCCACCCCACCCCCACCCCACCCCACCCGCGCGATCCTTTCAGTCCGTTATGTCGGACATGTGCATTATCTTTTACTGTAATTATTATAAAATTACCATTCCAAGGAGTCTCCAGAGAACTCCGGCTCGAACGATAGAGGGAGGATGGTTCAACTTCCAAGGTCACTTCATGAAGAATAATAAGTGCAGCATTCATAACCATATCACTCACAGAAAGGGATTTCGGTGGAGGACAATAAGATAAGAATGTATCTGCAGATAAGATGCAAATTACAGCAGGAAGACTGAATTTCCCCTCGCTTCTCCACCAGACAATTCCAGCCAGTGTATTACCTTCAGATCCGACTAATCGGCCACACGATGGCTCGTAAAACCAGCCACGTGAATTACTTTACTTAGACCGAATGCAATTTAAGTGATGAAAAGAGAATATCAAAAACGTTTAATTGCATATTGGATTAATCCTAAAAAATTAAGTTTTCTTGAACCATCTTCATCGAAATATCAAATTCACTTAGTTCAGGGAACTCATAAATTGAACTGCTTTTCTTTGCTTTTGAATTTTTAACATTTAAGCAGTGAATAGGACGTTCCCAAGGACGTTAATGGAATGCGGACAATAACTTGAATGAAACGTTCATTGAAGGCGTTAGGGTGCTACTTGGGTGGTTCTCTCTGAAGATCGTGGTGACTCCTTCCACGACAACAGAGAATTTCGTTTTCTACGGTTTACAGCAGGTTTACCTGCCACTAGTCGATATTTGCCAGCTCTGACCTCGGATTAATGAGAATTCCTCCCCCTGGAAAGAGATCAAGAGGGCGAGCATAGGAAGTTCGGTTCTGAAAGCTACTATACCTAGGATAAAATAAGAACATCTCACGTATTTCCTCCGCATGGCTCTAAAGTCACAAAGCGGATACGATCGTCTCTTGAATGACGCTGATTCATCCGGCTGATTCTTGAGTGCGTCTTCCAGCGGAGCACGTCTGGAAATTTATTGGCCCAATCTTGGAGTGACATCCCCATAAAGATCGCTTCTCTCTCTCTCTCTTGGGCCCTCCTATCATCGTCCAGGGTGGACGCGAGTCTACGCTTCATTCTTCTGCTCGTGTCATGCATTCACGCATCCCGAGATATCGATACCAGACGTGCTCCGTGTACCGTCTATGATGCATGGTTCCTCGAATAATCCTCAGCAATCCGTGAGTCTTGTCGTATGCATAGTCGGAAAGAGAGCGTTCTTCATTCCATCGATCGATCTATCCACGAGAGCGAGTCAGAAAGTGAGGTTCCCGTCCATCTGTCGGCAGGGGTTCGATAAGCTGATCGATTGTTACGACAAATGTCTCAACAAGTCTGGCGACTACGTGGGTAAATATAAGAGTACGTGGGGACATTTCCTGTATATTGTCTTCGGTGTAATTACCTGTCCTCCGAAGAAATGAAATAGGGAACCTTACTTTCAGACTTACCCTCGTATACGGTATACAGCATATACAGTAATATGCTTGGGCCTCCGTGTATGTCTGCAAGTGCTTGTGCAGCGCCTTCATGCCTGCCTCCAGGTGTACGTCTCCCACTCTTCAGGGAGCAATTTTTTTCCGGCCGTTGCGACAGTCGGATCTATTTTCGATAACGTAACAGCCCCGAGAGAGGTAGACGGAGGGGGGGGGGGGGGGTGCTGTCGGGGGTAAGAGTTCCGATTGCATAAGAGGACGAAAAAAGACGATGGAACGAGCGCGAGTCGAAACTAGAACCTATTGGTTGCCGGTGAAGTATGCTTCCATTGCACCACCGAACACGGTGGTTAAACTTCACCTCTCCATGCCATCCCTAACGCTACCAAGGGAGAGAAAGGCATTCTACGCATGCCTCCGCCGCCCCTCTCTGATTGTTCACACCTCCGATACGGAATTTTTTGCAGGGACGTGTAAAAGTCCCTGCGTATCCCACTCGTTCGTCCCCTTTCATACCTCGAGGGAGGATTACTTTCTCGCCGGGGATGAGATCTCCGCCCGTGTATTTCTCGGGATCCGGAAAAGACGTATGATGGGCACGAACACCCCGTGAGTAGGGGGGAATGGGGTGGGTGTGCGGAAGAATGTCAGAGCTGCTGCTGCGCAGAGCGTGAGTGGGACCGCTGACTGAACTCGTGAATATCCGAAAAGGCTCTACGCTTAGCCTTGGCCAACCCGGAGTTCTTGGATGTCTTCCGTGGGCTCCGTCTCGCTCGAGAGCGGGCAATTTCTTTCGAGTCTTCGCGACTGTCGGATTCGTTCTCGAGAACGGGAGAAAGAGCGGCTGCCGCCTAGAGTGCTCGAGTCAACTGAACTCATGGATTCTCGACTATGTTCAAGACCGTAGGACCGTAGAGAGGGGGGAAGGGGCAAAATGGGCAGTTCGCCCCGCGTCCCATGGCGGGGGGGGGGACCGGCCACACCGGATGATGTATGTATTGATACTATTATTAGCGAAGCGTTCGTTCGCAATGAAGAGTTCAAACACACTCAACGAGTGTATTTGAAAGGGGGGGGGGGGAGAAGGAGGAGTGGAAAGGAGCCTTTATATGAAATTGCCTCAGGCCTCACAATTTCTTTTGGCGACCCTGACTATTTTACATGCTTAGCCAATGCCAGAAATGTCAAACTTGACTGAGATGGTGGCCGAATGGAACATTTCAGGAATGGTTGGGCGCACATTCGCACATCTTGCGCCAAAGTTTCAATTGCTAACAGATTGAAATTGTCTTCGCTTTTCCAAAACCAACTGTTGAAGAGGACATTGCAGACCGGACGAAATCAAATAGTTGGCCGGCAATTTGACACCCATGGCCGAGACCGACCCGAACTTCGTGGAAGCATTCCACAGGTCATTTTCGAGAACGGGATGGAGGTGGTGCTGCTTCATATCGTTGAGAGGGCCGCCGAGTTTTAGGGCTGCCGACTGAGCTCGGAAATTGCCGAGAAACAGTTGGTGGAAGTCATCCGCGGATGCCCGTCTCACGCTAGCACCTGGCTCGGACTTTCTCTCCGACCTTCGCAACAGACGAATCCGTTCTTGAGAATAGGAGAGAGAGTCACTGTATGACGCGCTCTTCCCCCCCCCCCCATAACTGAGGGATGTTCGCATCTCGATATGAGCTTTCACGCAAGAAAACCCACGCACAATACTTGCAGTCCCGTTTTTCTTCGTGCGAAGGAGAGTAATTCCAGAGGGTGAAAGCGGTGGAATCCACTCAGGGTGGGATACAACAGGATGGTATATTCTTGGATCGCAAGGATGGGGGTCGTCGGAGGTCGATCGCAAGGGTCGTCACCATCCCGTATCGATATCCGTATATTTCACTCATAGGCTTGCACGCAACGTAATGGAGATGGACTTTACGGACGAAGCGGACAGGGTTGTGATCGGTAGGAAAAAGTGCCGATAAATGCAAGGCCGAGGATCTGGGAAGTCACTCTCCCTTCAGCGGGATGAATGGGAACTCCAAGGGTTGTACGTGGGGACACGTAAAGTATGGGGATGAGGGGCTGCTGCCTAAAGCGATGAGAAGGCCAATGAGTTTTAACCGAACGAACTCGGGATTTCTTGCCGAATTGTTCTCGGAAGTCTTCCATGGGTCGGCTAGTATGTACCGGTATTTACATATTCTTTTAATTAAAAGACCGGAGATTCTGATAAGGCTGATTGCGACTAGAAGAAAACGTAATAAAAAGTAGGGACTGCATTTCGCAATTGTAGGACGCCGTAGCAGTTGCGTGTATAAGAAAGGGAAGAAAGAACGGAAACGATGCGAAAAATAGGGTCAACTACATGACAATGCACTGATTATCTTCAAAACCCCACGCTTAACTGTCCTATTACTTTAATGCTAATACCATAAATATCAAATCTAAGTGAAGGAAGTTACTTGGAAGGATCATTCCGTGGTATAATTTCATTCATTAGAGTAACCTGAAGCTTTAATCAGTATTAGCAAGTGTTGAGGCTCAGAAAAAGGAGGCGTTGAACCGTGTTTCATCTCGACATTGTGGCAATATTGCCACGTTGAAAGAGCAGTCCTCGCTCAACGTCGACCTGACGTTGTCCGACCTAACGGGTTCGCTTTCCAATCATGGAATATTGCCAAATTGGATATCGTTGTGACTGCGATTGCGTGTATGTCGTGCATGCTCATGTCCGTCCGACTGAGTTCCGGTTCTGTCCCTCTGGTAACTTACTGACGTATAAGTATTTTTTAACCAAAATTGTTAGGGATTTTTTTTTTCAGGGGGAAAATAATTCCCACATCATGTCACAAAAAACATCAACAGCTAGAAAATGACCCCGCGGTGACGATCGTAAGATAAAGCGAAGTCGCGCGTGGGAGTCATGCTGATGTGGATTACCGATTACCTCAATTACCTCGATTACCTCGTACCGAGGCCGAAAGTTCCCGCGTACGCAGAGCAAATGAGACAGATTCCGAATGCGATCAGCGGTAAAGAAGACATTTGGCAATGGTTGGGCCTTGGCCCCAGTTCCCAAATGTCTTTCATTCTTTTTTATTGAGAAATATTTTCTCAAGGAATCATCATCCAGTGAACAAAATCGAAATTCTCTTATTAACGTCAGATCCCGTGTGCACACGGGCTTTCGACTAGTTATGATATACGTATTTGCGACGTAATATGTAAGTCGGCGCAGCGCAAAATAACCTTGCACAAACAGTTTTCATAAGGGAAAGCCCATAGCCAAAGGTTGAATGGGTTTCGATTATTAAATTCCACCAGATTCCATTTAATTCCTGCACGCTTTCTGCCCTTCATTATCGGCGAAAGTACTTCTCGTATCAAGTTGCGTCACGTAACGTATCGAGCAGGACAGCCCTCTGAAAACATGTTGCAATCGTGACAGGCCATCATGCAGGAAACGGGCCCTGAAGACGGCGAAAAACGGTCGCAGACCTGCAGGTCCAAGCTCCTGCATTTCCGAACGCTGCTCGTCGCGATCGGGGTCGTGGTCGTCGCGGGACTCGCCCTCGTCATCTACTTCACTGCCTTCGACGACGAGGAGGGATCGGGGAATCTGCCGAGAAGACTCCGGAAACTCGAGTTCGACGACTATCTCCTCAATAAATTCGGCGCTCCTTCCTTTTCTTCCAATGCTTCCTGGATTTCAGGTAATTCAGTTTTTTCTTTTACTTCGAGTGATCTGCACGTCGCGAAAAACATTTGTTTCTGTTTGCAGACTCGGAACTGGTGTATCGAAATGCAGAAGAAGACCTGGTAAAATTTGATGTGAAAACGAGCCAAGAAACCCTTTTGGTTCCTTCAAGTTTCCTCGNCCCGCGTACGCAGAGCAAATGAGACAGATTCCGAATGCGATCAGCGGTAAAGAAGACATTTGGCAATGGTTGGGCCTTGGCCCCAGTTCCCAAATGTCTTTCATTCTTTTTTATTGAGAAATATTTTCTCAAGGAATCATCATCCAGTGAACAAAATCGAAATTCTCTTATTAACGTCAGATCCCGTGTGCACACGGGCTTTCGACTAGTTATGATATACGTATTTGCGACGTAATATGTAAGTCGGCGCAGCGCAAAATAACCTTGCACAAACAGTTTTCATAAGGGAAAGCCCATAGCCAAAGGTTGAATGGGTTTCGATTATTAAATTCCACCAGATTCCATTTAATTCCTGCACGCTTTCTGCCCTTCATTATCGGCGAAAGTACTTCTCGTATCAAGTTGCGTCACGTAACGTATCGAGCAGGACAGCCCTCTGAAAACATGTTGCAATCGTGACAGGCCATCATGCAGGAAACGGGCCCTGAAGACGGCGAAAAACGGTCGCAGACCTGCAGGTCCAAGCTCCTGCATTTCCGAACGCTGCTCGTCGCGATCGGGGTCGTGGTCGTCGCGGGACTCGCCCTCGTCATCTACTTCACTGCCTTCGACGACGAGGAGGGATCGGGGAATCTGCCGAGAAGACTCCGGAAACTCGAGTTCGACGACTATCTCCTCAATAAATTCGGCGCTCCTTCCTTTTCTTCCAATGCTTCCTGGATTTCAGGTAATTCAGTTTTTTCTTTTACTTCGAGTGATCTGCACGTCGCGAAAAACATTTGTTTCTGTTTGCAGACTCGGAACTGGTGTATCGAAATGCAGAAGAAGACCTGGTAAAATTTGATGTGAAAACGAGCCAAGAAACCCTTTTGGTTCCTTCAAGTTTCCTCGTTCGTAATCCTTTTTCCTTCGCATCGATTCCATGTGGGTTTTAAGACGAATGAAAAAGTCCGTATTCCAGGAAGGGGTGAGATTCACGTCGGTTTCGCCGAAGCAAAGCTTTGTCCTCTTGGCTTGGGATGTCCATCAGGTTCTGAAGTCTTTGGTTTTTTTTTTTTTATTCGTTCCAGGTGGCGCTCGGACTCCAATTCATTCCGTTTTTTTTTCGGTGTTGCAGATATACAGGCATTCCTTCAACGCTCGGTACTCCATTTACGACATCGAGAGAGGGTAAGTCTCCGATCGTCGATCGATTTCGTTTCGTCGATGAGTCGCGAGTGAGTTTCCGTAACGCTGGGAATACCAGGAACGTGACGAACGTGACTTTGAACGCGTCGACGATTCCGCCCGATTCACCGGTCTACTTTTCCCTGGCCAAATGGGCTCCGACCGAGGACCGCCTCGTCCTCGTCTTCCGAAACGATCTCTATTACCGGCCCGATCCGAGGGAAGATCGGACCTTTCGAGTCACCAGCAACGGAGAACCGGACGCCATCTTCAACGGCATCGCCGACTGGGTCTACGAAGGTGACGGGATTTTCCTTTCCTCGTTTTCTCGTCGCACCGGCCGTGATTCGAGCCGGAGGCTGTCTGCTCAGAGGAGGTTTTCGGCGACTCGAGTGCGGTGTGGTGGTCGGGAGACAGCAGCAAGTTCGCCTACCTTTCCTTCGACGACAGGAGGGTCCCCGTGATGGAATACGCGGTTTATCGGCCTTACAGTGTCGATAATCAGTATCCTACCACGGTCAAGCTTCACTATCCCAAGGTACGGGGATAATCGTTTTTCTCCGCGATGTGAAAATTCTGATCGCGTTTCGTGTGTCTTTCGCCAGGTGGGAACGGAGAATCCCGTGGTGGCGCTTTGGATGGTCGACGTGGAATCATCGCAATCGAATCCGCATTCGATAATGAAGTCCACCATCCTTCTCTCCTCCGTCTCCGAAAATGAGTGAGTCCGGCGATGACGAGTGTCTCCATCGTCGGGCTGAATCCGCTCTATGCGTCCGAAATTTTCGTATCGTGCAGGGAGTATTACGTGACAGGGATTTCTTGGTCGGGTGGATCTCACTTGGCCGTCAATTTGCTCAATCGGCACCAAAATTACAGCATTACAGATTTGTGCTCCCGGCTCGAGAACAGTACTTGGGTTTGTTCTGACGTGAGTGGTTCTTCTTTTCGTGAACGGTCTGGAGACGGAGGATCGGTCTCGAATGAAACCGTTCGACTGTGATCCGATGCCTAGGCCCTGACGCGGGAAAATAACGAAGGATGGTTCGAGATCCCGGCGCCCACCTTCCCTTCATCTCTCGATTCTTCTGCTTATCTCATTGTGCTTCCCGATGAAGGCTGGAAGAGGCTCTTCAAGGTCTCTTCTTCTTCCCTTTCCGAACCTCTCACGCCAGTTGGGTTCGAAGTCATCGAAGTCTACACATGGGACGCTGAAAATAACCACATGTAAGTCAGACGCAATCAAAACAGCATCTCTCCAGAGTTGCCCCTGTATTCCGCAAGAAATCGAGAGTTTTTCCTCTTTCCTGGGGAATGTTTTCAGATACATTCGAGGCACGTATGGAAATGCGTCGTCAGAAAGAGGCGTGTACCGCATCGAAGAGGACACTCTTAACATGACCTGCTTGTCGTGTTCCTCTCCCGACGAAGACTGCTCCTTTGCATCTGCATACTTCAGTCAGAACACGTCCTATTATGCACTTCAATGCGCCACCCCAAGGACCGTGGCGAATCGGGTGACGATCAAGGAGACGGAAAGTGGGAAAGTGGTGAAAGAATGGTTTTCCAATAGCGATCTCGTGGAAAATCTGAACACCCTGAACCTTCCCGTCGAGAGGAACTTGGAAGTGGAAGTGGCTGAGGGGTTCAAAGCTAAAGTTCGCCTCTTTCTCCCTCCCGATCTCGACGAGTCCGGTTCCACTAAATATCCCATGATAGTTTTCACGTATATATCGTTCCTGATTCCGTACATTCGAATTTTTATCATTCTCGGGAGGTGAAGATTTATTATTCTCTGTTGCGTGGATGCAGGTACGCAGGTCCAAATTCCAAGCTAATCGTGGACGGATGGCGAGGCGTCGATTGGGGAACTTATCTCTCGGGGGCAGAGGGAATCATCTACGCCATGATCGACGGACGAGGATCCGGATTCCGCGGCGAACGACTCCTCTATCAATTGTATCGTCGTCTCGGCACGGTCGAAGTCCAAGATCAGATCAATGTCACGAGGTTTGTGTGCATTTGGGAGTTGCACGTCGAAAGAAAGTCAACACTTGCGTCTTTATGCTTTCTTTCTTCCAACAGAACCCTGGTTCGAGATCTTGGATACATCGATGAGAAGCGAGTGGGGATTTGGGGTTGGAGTTACGGCGGTTTTACGACTGCCATGGCGTTGGCCAATGATACCGAAGGTGTCTTCAAGTGTGGCATCTCCGTGGCTCCTGTAACTTCTTGGCTCTATTACGGTATTCATCTTCTTAATACCGTTCTTCATATAGGCCACTATCACAGCGGTTTTAGTTTTGTTTTCAGGCTTTATTTGTTAATTTTGCCAGGGCGGAAAATAATATATGACTGTATTTGACTAAAATGTGAAGTACACTATGCTCCCGCAAGTCAAGGTCTACCCATAAAAATGATGGTTAACATGATGCGACCTCATTGTGGTACTCAATACCCACGTGACCGTCTCAGGCATCGAGTATTGTACTAGTATATACGGCATGTCCATGGCCTTCACCTTCAGGGAGTCCATGGTCTTTATCAACTAATGTGAACTTAGCGGCGCGACTGGAGCTCACTGCCTCAAAGGGGACATGTCGGTCAAAACTAAGTTGGTGGAAAGTGAAGACACCGTACTGGTAATTTTAGCTCTGTTTCACGGTGTGGTGCGCACTATCAAAGCGCTATTGAAGCCTCTGACTCTCAGGTAACCGTTTTTGGCCTGAACGGGTTCGTGCCGATGGAGCATATAATTAAATAAACAGGTGAGACAATGGAAATGGAAAACATATTCACGGGTAGTCCTTGACTTTTGGAAATATAGAGTAAATGATTGCAAGTCTGCTCACGTAGTAAGTCGTATTCCTGGCTTAATTGCAAGGGGATTGGCTAAAAAGGAACCTTAACGTACAATTTTGAGGTTGCAGCGAAGTAAGGTTTCAAATCAATCCTATTATATTTCAGAGAGTGTGTTTGTGTGTCTGGTTGTCCGTCCTTTATTCACGTCCACGTTTCTGATCCCAGTCCGCCTGGCTTCTTCATTTGGTCCGGCGATGTTCAAGGACGTGGTGGCGTTTCAAAATTTGTACCCCCCAAGGTACCCTATTTAGTGAATATTTGACCGATCCAATACTACTGACCCCCCCCCCCAAGGAGGTAAAATTGTGGGGACACATGAACAACACTTAAGTTGCAGCATGCAGCTTCCTATTGGAATTTCACAATTGGTCGTGTAGTAATCTCTACATGTTTCAAACCATTTCTAGCCGGGTTTGCCAAAGAGGCATTAAAATAATATTAAACCCTCAAACATGAGACGTATATAAAATTCACGCGTGCAACGCCGATGCCTTTACGACAGCAGAAGTCTTTATGCCCAAATTTTGTCGTGTGAACTGGTACCATGTTTCTCGATTAATTTTCATCGACGATTACTCATTCGTTTCGTAATGTTTTGTAGACGTATAAACTCATTTTAGATTTATTTTCAGAGTTGACCTTCAACCTGACCCGGATTGACTTTTCATATTAACTTTCGATCCAAATTCCTGTGTGATACATCATTCAAAAGCCACTCATTTCTTCCGTTGAAATTCGTTACATTGTAAAAATGTTGAGATTTGATCCCGCTGTGGTCAATCTGAGTTGAGAATGCACTGGCGCCATCTCTGAACAGTCTAGAGAACTGCTTGGAGACTACTGTATTCCACCAATTTTCTACATTTGACTTCTCATCGAGGCTCACATTTCTTCTCGGTTTAATTGAGAAGTATTCGTCGTCCTCATCACTCGTGGGTCTATTATCGTATCGGCTATCGGGATTAGCGGGCATTTGCTTTCAGATTTTTGCTGACATTTTACCTGTGGGGTGGGGATTTCTTTCTCATTTCTTCTTTTCCTGAGGTGGCATGCACAGTAAAGCATAACATCGAGTGGAGATAACTAAGAAAATAAACGGGGCTCCTTTTTTTTTTACAACACCGTGTAGAGCTGACAAATTCGGAGCGAATCGGAGTGAGATACATTAGATTTCAATCACCACCAGTAATTATACCCACGCAGCTCGCCTTCTTTTGTATATTGCATCCATTGTCAGTAGCAACAATCCTAAAGCTCCTTTGAAAGAATTTGTTTTAACTCTTAGCCTAGGATTTGGAGGTGAAATGTAGCAGTAACTTCAGGTATTATGCAACGATTGGGCTGCATGAATGCTACCGAGGAAAACAGACAGCGAGCGTAACAAAGCCCAGGAGCAAATAATAGGGAGAAACAGGCAAAAAGGAAGAATAGGACGTTTCGCAAATTTTAGAAGTGCAATTTTTCTATCCAAAGGGATACGATACATCCGACTGAATGGCCACGATACTCATTGCCAACGATAGGAAAATTTACCTTGGCAACGAGTATAATCGAGCCCAGTGTCGTATCAGTATTCATTAGATGTATTTCGACCGACAATTCTTGGGCTCGATCCAATCAATGAGAAAGGTGAGGAGTTGCAAGCAAAAAGGGCGCTCTCACATGCTGACGTAGACGTATTCATTTGAATTAAATCCGTTAAAGAGTCTCCAGGAATCATCCAGAAAAAATTATATTCCGGGGAGGAAAACCCTTTTCTATTCAGTTGAGCTATCATTTTTTTAATGCTTTTGGCATTACTGCGCAACATGTATCATTCCGCTGCGAAAGTAAAATTCCTTGAAATTTTCTTCAAAAGGAGCCTCAACTTTTTTACTTTTGACGTTGTTGATAGATACAATATACACGGAGAGGTATATGGGACTGCCGACTCCGGATGACAACCTGGTGGCCTACGAATCTGGGACCATGCTCACTGATGACAAATTGGAGAATTTCCGCAATAAGCTCTTCTACTTGATTCACGGAAATGCAGACGACAACGTTCATTATCAGCAATCCATGATGCTGTCAAGGGCGCTTGAGCAGAAAGACATCCTCTTCAGGCAACAGGTAAATGAAAAAAATCAGGCCCTCAGCTCATGCCGTACTCGAGATCAGACAAGACATAAAAGAACTCGCAGCATTACTGCAAGTGAAATGACCTACAGATTTTGAGCAATTAAGAATCTCCGCTTCAATTAAGATTTACTTCTTCGTCGAAACTTTCACTAAGCATATTTCCAATGCATCTTAGTATTCGAATACTTATTTGAAATGCATTCCTAATTCATTACTCCAAAACAATTTCATGAGTAATAATCAAAGAAGCTACTTAATGAAAAAGGGCAAGAGCTCTATTGGTAGTGAGAGACACGTCCGATACGATAGCTTTGTTGTAGTAGTATCCGTACCACATACAACTTCCTTTCCATTGAAACACAGTTTTTAGAATGCTTTTTTAAGTAAAAAAGCTCTCTTCCAAAGAAAGCTTGATGCTACAGATTAACGAGGGTATTGAGTCAGAGATTGCTACGAGTAAAAATAGATTTTCCCTTTCCTGTTCGTTTCAGAACGAAGCACTCTGAATGTACTGCAGTCCCCCTTCATTAAAAAATGTTTGCTTCAGTTTCAATGTTAATTGAAATTCAATTGTAAATTTTCAGCGCAAGTTTTGCGAAAGTAGCTTCTTTGAGAGATGAAATAACTTAAAAGCGGTGGGTCTTTTTTTGCCATATCCAGAAAATGTAACCCTGGATCCTCATTCCAACCCTATGAGGTATTGAGTCAGAGATTGCTACGAGTAAAAATAGATTTTCCCTTTCCTGTTCGTTTCAGAACGAAGCACTCTGAATGTACTGCAGTCCCCCTTCATTAAAAAATGTTTGCTTCAGTTTCAATGTTAGGTCATGATCTTGTCATGACTTGCACTGATTCGAATGAAATTTCAGGAGTCTATCGTAATTGTAAATTTTCAGCGCAAGTTTTGCGAAAGTAGCTTCTTTGAGAGATGAAATAACTTAAAAGCGGTGGGTCTTTTTTTGCCATATCCAGAAAATGTAACCCTGGATCCTCATTCCAACCCTATGACTGGAGTCATATCGNAATTGTAAATTTTCAGCGCAAGTTTTGCGAAAGTAGCTTCTTTGAGAGATGAAATAACTTAAAAGCGGTGGGTCTTTTTTTGCCATATCCAGAAAATGTAACCCTGGATCCTCATTCCAACCCTATGACTGGAGTCATATCGAATGACTGGAGGACTTTGGTACTGTCGCTGACCTGTAGCAATCTTAATATTTCAACGCGTATGCTGGGATGCAAAGGGGAATTTTGTTCGGAAGAGGAGAGCCTTCTCTACCCTTACTAGCTTGTCAGCTACGTTTTCCTTCTGCATGACACTTAGAACCGTTCTTGTCCATTTAGACTCTTATGGGCCGAACAGCCTGACAGGTGATTTCTTTTAAATCTTGATGGACCATCATCGCATCAAGGTATGCATATGTACGCCATTTTATGTGTTGCATTCTTGGGCGTTCTCTGATGCATCCCAACGTGTTCCTTGTAGTCAAAATAGTTTTAAATGTAACCCTTCTTCTCCGTGCGACGTACACTGTACGACCGGGAGATATTGTAACCGTTCATTCACTGTTTTAAGCTTAATCATTACCATTTCTATTATAAGTGAATAATGGCTGAAAAATTAAGCATAGAAGAACGAGCGACTTAATTTAATAGGTCGTCGAAGGCCAACGGAATGGCCTGCTCGAAGTCCAGATTTAACGCCGGGCGACTTATTTCTGTGGGGCTGGGCGAAAACATTAGTTTAAAAATCAAAACCAACGACCATTGATGAACTTGAAAACAAAATTCGTGATATTCTATTGCAATGCACCAAGTGACTTCTTGAGATAATCTGTTGAAAATGTACTGTTAAGGTTACAGAAGTGCGAGGACAATGCTGGAGCCTACGTTGAATTTTAACTTTGTAATAAAGCTTTACAATTTTGTTATAAAGTAAACGGTAAAAAATAAGCTTTAATTCAGTTAAAGAAATGTTTTAATATCTCCTTTGGTTTAGGAGCAATAACAATTTAAAATAGGGAGTGACTTTTCAGACACCCGGTACAGTATATAAAAATGTACGCAGGTGAAACTATAGGTGCTGAGAATTTCCGTCCTGAACATGTCCTGCAAGCTTTTTATAAGACTGTATACCTAGGTATATTGAAATGGTTGCGATGGAATTACTTTCCGATGTTTTGCCTTGCATGCCCTCGTGTCAGTCTTGTCTCCTCTTTGAATCAACGTATTGTGCTTGATGCATAATCCTGGATAATATTTTTTTTCCTCACAGAGCTATCCAGACGAAAACCATGCTCTTGGTGGTGTGCGGCGCCACGTCTATCATTCCATGCTGGAATTCTGGAAGGTGTGCTTTGACCTCGCCTGATTCCTGATCCCAGTAAAAAATAAATAAAACTAGTAGATGAACCTGAATTGCCTCGTTTCTTTGCAATTCTGCGTCAACTTGTACAAGGTGACCGTTTTGGATTAGCACAATCCCATAGTGACTTTGAATTTGGAGTGTTTGGAAAGTGTTCTCTAGGAATATTCACCTCACTATTGTGAAACTTGAAACGATTTAATGGTTCACTAGGACGATCCGTTGAAAAAAAATTTCTCAAGATCGTTCAGCTCCTTGGTCGCCTTTCTTCGGCAATGATTTTATTAAGCAGAAATCCGCTGTTTGGGTCAGATTAATAATATGGCTGGGGACATCCTCAGGGGGAGTATACTTTCCACCATAAAATTTCCAACCTCGTTTTATTAAATGGCAAATTAGCTTGGAAATAAAACCACTTAACAAGATCTCGTCATCTTGTGCGATGTGGTTGCCTACATCACGAAGCAACGTACATCATTGGCCAATAGTTCGGTTAGAGATGGAAACTATTGGCTAAGAAGTTTTGTGGTGAAAGGTAATCCCCACGTGGAGAAGGACCTTTTCATCTACACACAATTCATGCTGGCGCTTCCCTGAGAAGTTCCAGCACTCACGGAGGTTGACTCGCAACGACGGCAATTGATTTCTCATCACTCTTGTGAAAGTCTTACTCATTCAAGTAAATAGCATATGTCAGGGCGGTACTTTGATAACTTTCATAAAAAATTATTTTAACTATAACTCTTTATCCCATTTACCGATTGGATAGAGCCCATTTATATTTTCATGTTTACAGGTAATCAATGTGTATCCAAGGGTACGCATGATGTCAAAATTCATGAAGGGCACATTTCATCTTCCATTGCAAGTTTACGTTCTTCGTAAATATAAGGAAGCAGCATGTCGAAGAGAGTTTTTTCATTTTGGAGGATGAATTCTCGGATTTTAGGAAGTCAGTGTAAAAAATCGCAGTGCTTTGTAAAATGACACACAGACAGACGAACGTACAACAAAGAGCAATATTCTTTGGTAGTCGATGCTTCTTTCGCATGCACTACATGTTGGAACTTCAGCTCATCTCGCCCCGTTTGAAACCATGCAACATATTAGTTATTCAGGGGATCAATAGGCGCGGTAGCGCCTTTTACTTTTTTTCAACCCCCTCTTGCAACAAAATTCAACCCAATTCAGAATTCAACATCAACAGGAACTAAATTTAGCGAACTTCTTCCTCTCTCACCACAGAATCCTTCAGCAAATTAGAAATTCCATCTCCCTGGGGTTGTGGATAACGCTGAATCTCGTTATTATGTGAATTTTATTCCTTTTTTTTCTCCTTTCCTGGGTGCACGCACTCATTGGGGGTTTTTCAGAGAAACGAGACCAACCATAAGAAAGACATTGATTCGTAGATTACGAAAAGTGGCCTCATTTTTGTATATGATACACCATTTCGCCATAAAAAATGAAATTAGCTGTCGTTCAATTGGGCTTTGAGAGCCGGCTTCTGTGTCGTCCAGCAGTGTTGCAGGATACCGCGTTCAAATTACGCCAGATTCAAGACTACTTCGTAACTGAACTTTCGTATCAGCGTCTGGATCTTCTGTTTTTTTTTATTATAAGAGATATAAGATTTATCGATTTTGTGGGATATGGAGATATCTTATCTGGACTCCCCTGAATTAACAGGATGGCAAGCACCATGGTTATTATGCTTCCTAGAACCATTCATTCCCTAGACCTATTCGAGATGGTTCAAGAAGCTTCAGAGAGGCCTAACGTTCCATACTCCCACTGAAATGGTTCATGAAGCACGAACAAGCCTCCAATCGGTCTAACGTTACACGTCCACTCTGAAATGGTTTGTTAAAGTATGAATAGGCCTGTACATGGTCGAACGTTACACGTCCTCAACGAGATGTTACGAAGAAATCACGGATTCGCCCTCATAGGCCTAATTATAATATTAAATGAAAGTTACAGCTCACGTTTGACAGCTGTCTTGAATGCAAAGTGGGCATGTTCTGTCTGATTCGAGAAAGGAGAATATCCTAACGTTCGTGTGAACGTTAGGAAATATATCTTCCACCGAGACTCGTTTGTAGGGTCTAGGTTTATATATAGGTGGAATATTAATACCAATATTGGCTCAACAAAGGTTCCGGTCCCCCCCCCCAATAATGGTCCAATATTGGTGCCAATGCTAGGCTTAGATTCCTTGACAGTCGATATTGATTCAATATTGGGGTGCTAGTGTGGGACCTCCTTCGAAAGCGCTATTCAACTTCTGGATGGTAATGAAAACCCAAGGAATGAAATAATTTCTGTCAATGAGCTGTGGCATTGGTTTAAGGATCCACATCGAATCCTCTGAGAATTGGACTTCAGGATCTGATAAAATACTCATATGTGCCAGTCTTACTGGAGGTGGAAAGTCCGATCACAAAGGCCATGTAAGGTTTCACCTCGAGACAGAAGTGACTGCTAGACTAATCAATGCACATCTTCAAAGTATGATCTACCTGGAATATTTATATATATTTTGTCAGGTGATGTTGATTCTACTTCTGGAAGATGCAGCTCTCGTCCTGCCAGTCATTCATTATCTGGAAGGTAGCCAATTTTATGCGAACGCTGATCAACTTCGGATCAATTTCACTTCACAGAAGCTGCAGGCCAACGTATATACCTAGGTATATTAGATTAAAAGCTCATGGATAACATATTAAGGGGTGTTGGATTAAATTTATTAATCAATTAATTGAAAATACAGAATTAATAGCAACATTTCAAATGACTTACTATTGGGCCTACTTACGCGATTTAATATACGCCAAATCACTAATGACAAGTCCTAAAGGACTTCAGAAGGGCGCGCAATATTCGTGGAAGGTGACTGGATGGCTGGTGATTTGGTAGAAATGTTGCCTACTTGCTGCTGATTTGTCACTGTCGACTTGGAACACTTCTCGCGCAAGAGCTGATCCACTGGCACAGCTTGGTCTTTTGGCAAGAGAGCCTCATGTGGGTGCCAGGATGGGAGGGCATGGGTTGGTGAATCAAAAATAGGGAACGTTGCATCTGCGTTCAAACCGTGATCCCTGTGGGTGAGCCATAGCCAGTGAAACGAGAGATGCAACCAACAGCTCAAATCGGGTTCTGTTGGATCCTTTTCTTTATGCGAACACCAGTAGCACTCAAATGAAGCTGGGTAGAGAAATTTCATGCCAAATTTATCCAAAACCATAACCTTCCTATTTCCAATCAAGGGAATCCGTTTCACACATATGTACCATGTATGATTCACTCTCATCGTGGCCAATACCATATACCTCCGTACGGTATACCCATTCGGGTATACCACACCCATTTGGCATAAACCGGACTGGTATATTTGTGGTATGGGGTCATACCACGGTGGGAAAAAAGTTCATGAATGGCATCCAACTCTTCTAGTGTTTGTGAAATCACAACAATCCAGTAGTTGCTTCTTTTCCTGTCGTCCTTATTCCAGAAGAAATTCATTGGCCAGTCTGAATCCAAATCACCATCAAGGAAGATTATATGACTCATTTTTTTAAGTGTTTCCCTCTCCATATGCTCCACTTCTTCAATCTTCACACTCGTGTGTGAAAAGACGTGGATGACAATGAGCTTCTTGTTATTCTCTATGAAGGTGATCAGATCAGACCGTGAACGGATTTCAGTCCGGCGTGTGGGCATCTGGGAAGAGACAGGATCATATCGTGAAACATCAGCAAAAATTCCTCCATCCGTTATCTCAAGGCATCATTGGGACGGGATGAATCCATTTAAATTCCCTAAAGCACTCTTTCGCCTAAGGGAATCTAAGTGGATTCATCCCTAACCCACCTCCTCTCCTAGCAACCCACTGCCTCTCCCCTTTCCTTTCCTCCTCCACCCCTTTTCCCATCCCCCTCACCTTCTCTACTCTATGCTCTATATTTTTGTCTCACCCCTTCCTATCCCCTGTTCTGCCTACCTCCCCTTTCCCTCCAGCAAAATGGTTTACAATGTGTGTCTTCTGTCATTGAGTAGACACTGAAGCGGTCATTGCTGTTGAGCTCTATCCCAAGTAGTCCATTTACTCCCACTCTACTGTATTTAACCTCATAACAGTTTTCTGTATTAAAAGAGACATTGTTTACCTGCTTAAGAAATTGTGGATATTTTTCTTGAATGAACTCCTTTAAATACGAGGGCGAGTCAATAAGTAAAGGCACAATAATTATTCGTTACGAATAGTGCAGCCATGCAGGTACAGTGGTTTTTCGGTGAAATTTAGTACCTTCTACGTATGTAGTTATAAAATCAGCCAATTGAAGGGCCATTGCTCAGTAAAGAAAGTGGCGGCTTCACTAGAGACATGAACAGTTGTGGAACAGTATGCTGTTATCAGATTTTAATGGTCAGCAGATGTAAGGAGCAGGATGGTTGGACAATATGGAGATAACTGCGTGAACCCCCGAAATGTGTATAAGTGAGGGGAACGGCTGGAAAATGAGCGAAAAGATATGATTTGCATCGGCCAGGAAGACCAAAATCTGGGAACACACCAAATGGGGTTGTACGCATAAGTGAGATTGTGTTAGCTGATCTCAGGATTACACTCAACGAAATTGCACGTGCTATGGAGGCTTGCCTTGGGGCAGTACACACCATTGTGCACGATGAACTCAACTTCTCAAAAGTCAGCGACAATTCCCATCTACATTCTGCTCGTGTAATGGTGGAAACCGTCAACAACCTCAGTTGGGAGGTTATCCGCCTTACAATCCTGACCTCGCATCATCGGAACTTGCGGACCTTGCATCATCATCATCTATTCGATCCCTTAAAAGAGGCATTTCATGGCTAAAAGTTTGCTTACGACAACGCTGCAGTGAACGATGTCCGAGTTTGGCTGTTACACCAGTCCAACGAATTCTTTGCTATGGGAAATAGGATGCTTGTGGCAAGATGGGACAGATGCATCAGTGTACAGTGAGATTGTGTGGGAAAATGACCTAAAGTTTGTAGGCAAAAAGTTCCATTAAATATATGAAATTCACCTTTGTGTATTTACTTATTGACGCATCCTCGTACCAATACAATTTCTCTGAAACTGTGGCATGAGTGCATGTACTCGTCAATGTCATGAAACTATCTGGAGGAGGTACACATTTCTTAAAGTCTACTTTGTTCAGAAAAGTAGGAGTAACTTTTGTAGTGAACATTCTTCCACAATCCTTCGTAATCAACCATGATTAATCTACTCCCACAACAAACTCGAAGGAGATGGAAATCAGTCAACGCAAAGTTGGCCAAGTGGAAAAAGCCACACAATTTCAATACCTATTTTGGGTGTTTCATGTATTTCAGATCACTTTTATCGCTCAGTTTTTCAACGGAAAGTCTTGCAGAGTAGGAAAACGAAATTGATGTTCTCTTCCAGAATCATATTGTTATATGTAGGTGCAAGTGTAAGATGAGTAGCATTAAAATGTAACCTAACATGAACAATTTTGTGCGCATTTCATTGGACCAACTTTGCTGTTGTACAAACAGTTCCCACAGTAATACTGAAAGAGACTAGCGGCCTGTGGGCACAATTGTGGCCTTCTACCAAGGAATCTAAACTTTGCAAAGTTTTATCTATTCATTCCTTTGGAGTGAATAGATAAAACGTCGATGAGCTTATGAACATTGGGGTTCAGGTATACAAAGGGTTAGGATGTGGATGTTGATGTCCTTCAGGACATGTGTGCTTATTTCACAGGCAATACATAATTGGGCTGCTGTTTGATTCACAGTATTGCATCCTGCACATTTTTTCCGGAAAATGTTACGGATCTCAATCACTCATACCAGAGCCAGTCGTGATTGAAGTTGCTCCAGCTGCTGTGGCGTCCTTTCCACCTGCCAATGCACAGGTCAATATATTGGTTACATCTGGATGAAAAAATAATAGTATTGGTAGTTGATGATGAAGTTGAATATGGGACCTTAGTTTTGGCCGCTTTGAGCTCCGTCCCTCTCTCTTGATGGAAGAACTGCTCCCTCTCAAAATGTTCTAGAACTTCTTCATGTGGAGGCTCAAGCGTTGCATTAGACTCTGTCAACTGCCGTATACTTTGCTCCGCTAAATGTCTCTCCATCTCACCCTCAGTCAGTCTCATCGATAGGTCTTCCACCTGCAATCACGAGTTCATCACTTCAATCAAATATTCATTCTAGGAAAGATAAATAAGATAACTGGAAGGGATGTCAGATCATCCTAATCATATCCAGACGCTCCTAATCTATATATTTTGTATATTTATGATAATAGAGGCATCACAAACAAATTCAATTCCTGAAGTTTTTATGGAAAAATATGGGTAGACTTAGGTCTTTGAGGCATATGGGTAGCAGGAGCTCATATATTATGATAGCATGTTTTAACTTGCCCCTCATCTGTTAGCTTTTGACAAGGGTAGAGCTATGCATTGCATGAAAATATATTATTGCCAAACGCCGCTCTGTTTTTAATGTGTTTGGTGATGGATTGTGCAAAGTGACTTAAATCAAAATTTCTTTTTAAAATTTCTTCGGAAAACTTTTCGTAATTAGGTTTAGTTCTGAACCCATTAAGGCAATATTTAAAATTTGTTAAGTGTATTTGATTGTCATTCATGACTTATTCTCTGTTTTTCTTTTCTGTTCGGATTGAGCATATTTTGCACATCTGATAATTACCATGTTTTCAATGAAGGATGCCGCGATTTCTTCCAATTTGAAAAGGTAAAACAATTGGAATCTCACCTTCCTATTTTCCTTTCGGTCATTCTGGAGCCCTTGCAGTATCTAGAGAGAACAAACATGGAGTTAAGACCAGTGAATGCAGAATAATCGAGGACTACATCTTCACAATGCATGCAGTAGTATCCCCAATAGCACATAGCATTGAACCAACATACAACCATTTAAATAGCATTGAATTAACATCCTGCCGTTAAATCAGCACTGAATCAATGTTGTTTCAATGCCTCGTGCTTCTGGGGAATAATTTTTTTCACGTCACTTCCTTTTGTTATTCATGTTCCCATAAGAGTAACATGAAACGTTTCAGGAATTGACCAGATTCAGGGAAATTGGCAGTGACGAAGGAGATCGCACCGGAGGCTAGAATTCCCCCATCCCTTCCATAATACTTTATATACTTTACCTTTAGTTATTTTGCGGGGTTCCGTGTTTTTATGTGTGCGTTTTTGTTGAATTCATTGGTTTTTTGTGGTAACAGTTTATAGTGGTTTATCAAAAGACGTGAGTCAAAACAGCGTTCATCAGGCAGTTGACCAATTCAAAACATCATTCTCAGCAGTATTTTTTTTAATAACTAAATGACAAATTGAAAAGATGCCTAAGAGAACATGGTAGCACATTGAGTTAAGCAATGACAATGATGGGCTACATACTAGTATTTTGAGTCCCAAACAGCATTTGATGAATTACAAGTTTTTACTTGATTCAAGTTTTTACGTTACTTAAAATTATTTTAAAGTAATTGAAGGGACTTTGTATCCGCCCTGTATATACAAAAACGCTGAAAACACTGGTCTCTTTCAAGATATGGTATTGTCTAATCGATGGTCTGAAATTGTCGCTGATGCCATACGATTGCCAGCAAAATCCCTTTTTAAATTATTAGATCATCCGATTGTCACAGATATTTCCACCACTCTCGACATCTCCTTGGATCGGCAACATTTAAGATATAGACTAGAAGAATGCTCAAATTATTGAAGCTGAGACTTCCATCAGCCGGATGTCATCGCAGGAGGATAGCAGCATCGATCTTAAAGAGTCGGATAACAATATTATTCAACGTATTGCTGTGACATTCCAGCCTACATATGAATTGCAGCATATTCATGACAGACATGTTGGCCATATCGGCTAGCATTTCACACAAGGTCTTTCGGGAATCCGGTTGGATGTGCCAGATGTCAGAATCTCTTCATTATTTAATCCGGAGACAGATGAGGACGCATTCAGAGGATTTAGCAGAAATTTGGAGCTTCGTATAAATCTAGTCCACGGTTATTGCATTGGGGTCATTCCACACCAAATCGACTAGCAAGTCACATCACAGATTCTGACGAATATTGGTATAGACGTAAAGGAATCGATTTAAATGAATCAATTTCAATAAATTTTTTATTTCTCCCACAGGTCTCCATATGTACGAGCCTATGTATTTTAATATGACATAATTTTCGCTCCCAGTGATACGGACAAGAATTGTGGAACTGTTTCAGCAATAACTTCACCTCTAGTTAAGATTAAGATTTAAATTGATTTCAGGCACTATTCTCCTAAGCCGAAATCTGAAGATACACTTGATCAAACAGTTTGATCAAGTTAAATGGCCATTTTCGACATTTGCCCCATAGGGAATTCATGGTTTCGATATTTCATTAAAAAAGGGCTTCGTATGCCATTTCTGATGAACAAAATTCGTGATTGTCACTCAATGGCTTGCCGAGATATAAATATTCTTGTGCACCAGTTGTGCCAAAGTTGCACTTGTTTGAACACTTAGACCGATATCAATGACCAAAGCACTACAATTTCACTCTTTGAATCCCGTCTTATAGTATATCAATAAAAAAAGTCCTTGCAATTAGCGCTGGGGTAGAATATTAGGGCACACTAAATTTCTTACATTTGGAGATCTGTGGGAGAGTGAAATATTTGCTTGAAGTTGGTTTCTTTGAATCGGTTCCCTTATGTGTATATAGATTTTTCCAAAAATCCGAGACGGTCGACCTCTCACGCTGTTGTATTTGGTGTGGAATGGCACGAATATGACTCATATAAGCATTTAGACACGAAATAGTCGAAATAGATGGCAGCAGACTCACTCCTGGAAGAAGCCCATCTTCAACCTCATGTTTCATAAGCAGCGTGTCAAACTTCCTACTTATTTCCTCCGTTTTCTCCTGGAAGAGAAGGAACAGTTTCTTAGGTATTTCTTCCCTTTTTCCTCTTCGTACACCGTACACACATGAACACAATTACAATTGTGCTAAATGTTAAATAGCGCAATGATTCTTCTATAATGCCTCTCGATGCATTAATAATAATTTGCAACAATATAAGTATCATTGAACAGTATTATGAAATATGAAATATAAAAAATAAGTTTTAACAATGTAACTGCTGAAATAATTTCTTAGTTATTTCTGTTGAAAACAGTCTTACCAGGCGAGTTTAAGCGATTTTTTACGATTCTCTACAGATAGGAGAAAAAAGGCATGAATCATTCTTTCTCGTCTCCTGTTGGACTGTATAGGTTCAGGATGATTAGAATACAAGGATGTATCTGTCTATGCATTCGACTTCGGATTCAAAATGAAACATAATCAAGTCAGGCTGCATCAATGGGAAATATTCAAGATTAGCGAGTTTGTTTACACTTTGGGCAAAGAAACATGCTATGGTCGCGACGTCGATGCTCCATTACCTAGGATAGTAATGAAACCATTAGTTCATCATCAGTTTTCATGATCATCAGTTTTCGAATTGGCAAAAATTTATCAGAAGTACGTCCCTGCTGAAATATGTGCCATGACAGGACAAACCGACATATTTGCGAAATAATAACTCGAATGATACCTTGTGTGCCTAATTTCTTATCCCTTTATGTGTCTCCTTTTGTCAGAGCGGAAAATAAATCTTGAAATGCGTCCCTCACATTATCTGCCCTGAGTGGAGATATTTCAAAAGTAGGATGTCACAGAAGCTGATGCATAGATTTGCCTATAACTTTCTCTAAATACCTGTAGGATTTCTGTAATTAAAAATGTATCCTTTATATGCACCATTCCTCAACTTCAGAGCCAGCTCACTGGAATATTCATTATCTTATTTTTGAAACGAAATAAACTTTTTTTTGCAGAAAAAACTCCACTCCTTTGAGCCCTTCAATTGATATGTACTAGAACTCACCAGAATTTGCTTGCCCAAGCCCTCTCCTTCAGATATCTTGAAACCAATCATGTTCCTCAATTCGTCCATCCTATCACCTTCGGATAACTTCCAACTATCAATCATCTCTTTTATTCGGTCCATGCTTCCTTCTTCAGAGAATTTTAAACCATCAACAGCGCACTTCAATTCAGATATTTTTTCTTCTTCAAATTTCTTCATACAATCAACCGCGATCTTCAATCGGTCCATTATTTCTTCTTCGGATTTCTTCAAACTATCGATCACAGTTTTCAATTGATCCATGCCTTCACCTTGGAAATTCCTCAGGCTATCAACCATCGTCTTCACTTCTTGCAAGCAGCTCTTCTCTTCATCGATTGCAAGTAGTATTTTCTTTTCATATACATTCCGATCTCTAAAATGTAAAGAGACTAAAAGTAGATTATAGCGACACATATATTTCATAACCACGTTATTCCAGGTATTATGATCTCCGATTTAATGGGTGACATTCGCATATTATATTTGTCACGAGCATGAGGATAAATTATTCCCTGGCCATATCATCCCCCATAATATGGCAACCCTTGCCTGAATAATCAACGAGCCGAAAATGGTCTCAATGAGCTGCTTTTTGAACTGCAACATGTTTAGACTATATGCCTCACCTCGAGAAGTCAAATTCTATCAAATCAGTTTAATTTCATCTTAAATTATTATTTTTTTGGTAAACATCCTTGAAACGGCGGTTTTCACACCAAGGAAAAACATATTTAAAAAATGAGTTTATGAAACAGGCAGTGGGACTGCAAACAATTAGGAAGACGAAATCAATACGCAGTCGGGAAACCCTTGGCGTCGATCACTGCTTTGTACCCCGGGCCGGCTCAATCAGCTTAGTGATGGTCGACTGGTCAACGTCGTGCTTTTCCAATTGCTCGAACTTTTTCTGCGCATTTCTGGCTTTCAGGTCTCGGCTTGTCACCCTTAACTCCTCCCGCAAGTGCTCGATTGGGTTCAAGTCGACTGCGACGGCCAGTTGAGCAAGTCGATGTGCTTGGACGCACTGGATAGCTCAGCAACCTTTCCCATGCTGGAATTGATGGATTGGGCAGATCCCTTTCTTAAAGTACCGTCGAACTTCGAAATGTCGTCTCACCTTTTTTTGTAGAATAATTAATATTACAGGTGCACCGTTGACGCCAACAACAGAAAATTTATTATTATTTTTAAATCAAAACGATCTCTCGGTGTTGCAACTACAAAGATCAGTTTGAAATAGAGTCTCGCATGTTGTGTTCCAGTTGGAACGCATTTTCTCAGCGTTCAGTTGATTTACGCCGAAAAATCACATCGTGCTAATACTTTTGAGCGCTACTGTATATGCAAAGACCAAAGGTACATACCTACACTATTTCTCCATATAGTATTTATACCCTGTTCACCCTTGTCACAACGCGACACCAGTGATGCGAGGCAAACCAGCAAATCAGGGTTTCGTAGTAATAGGCAGCGTTTACAGTTTTCCCTCCTTTCAGGAATTCGACGGAGAAGGAATTCGACCCCGTTGGTCCCTAATCACTGATTTTGCCAGCAGACGAAACCGCTTTGAATTTCTTAGCGGGTAGTGAAGATGGATGCTTCCCGCGTCATATTTACTTCTTTGGAATGAGGAATGTAATGATAGACCATTGTCTCATCCGCAGTGATGATGCGATGAAGGAATGTTTCACCATTGTCTTTCAAACGAGCCAAATGGAGAAATGAGTTACCCATTCCCGTCGTTTGTCGTTCTTCAGTGAGTCGCTTTGGCACACACCATACACAAAACTTCTCGATAGCCAAATTGATCACGGACAATGTGGAACACAATACCACTTGAAACATCGGGATCTCCTGCGATCTGACGAATTTTTACCTACCTTTCCTCTTGATTCATTCATCCATTTTGCACGACATTCCCATCTGTTGACGAGGTGCTCAGTCGACCCAGTTGTTGTTCATCTACAGGGTGATCGTGAAGTCAGGAAACCCAAGATCACCTGTTCCTTGCACACAGTTCGAACATGTCGCATGCTCTCCTTGGATATAGGAAGGGAGGAAGGGAACATCCTGTCTGGTATGGACAAAGCGTATAATTGTTTGGGTTTCCTTAATTTAAGATCACCCTGTAGTACGCTCGTTTTCCCGGAATCGAGTGCTTCGCACCACACTCATATTTGTTTTCCAGGCTTGGTATTTTCTCCATAAACTTCTACAACTTTGCTATGAATTTCTGAAGGTGCCCTTGTTTTATCGACCACGTTTCTAGGAGTTAACTTGTTGGTCACTTATGGACAGTATTACCCAGTTATCAATCCGCACTTGAAACGGGAAAACTCATGACCTCTGTACTGCGCCACAAAAAAGTCATTCGACCCAAAACAATAACTTTTCCGCAGCAGGTCTTGTTACCTTACTTATTGAACATACCTCGTACCACCTTACCTGTGTATACCAAAACTGACCTCTGCAGTCATTTATGAGGTGAAAGGAAAAACTTTGAATAGATCCGCAATACTCTTGTTTCATGCTGCACTTTTCACAGTTCCTTTAGGTGACATCAATACGGCCGGTCTCTGTTATTCGGAAATTATGGTTACTAACCTGAGCCATTTTTGTAGTCCTTGAGTTCTTCCTTAGAGGAATGCAGGAGCTCCTCAGCAATGGGTCGATGGTTTGTTTCCAGGAGGCACCTGCAAATGAGAGGTAAATTTCGTCTGTCCTTTCTCTCCAGCAGTGTACCGAGGTGGGACATTTTCTGTTCCTTGTATTTCTTTTCTTTGAGAATTATTTCTTCATCTTTGTTGAGAATTGAATAGTCCATCATCTTTCCTATGACTTCATCGGGGTTTCCAATCTTGATTAAGTTCACCCATACTCTGCCGATACGATCTTGGATGTCTATATATATATAAGATAGACATGCATACAATTACCTGGGTCAGATATTCCAATTCCCTTCGATATATTTGATGTGCTATTATAGAAAGTAGTCATGTGAAAACATTTAACTTGAAAGAGAGATGGCATGGCAATGAGACATTTAAACATCTATTTGGGTTTATTTTCTTTGGCTTTGAAATGAAGTGATATGATAGAGCACGTATCAAATAATGTGGATATATTTTTTCATCTTAAAAAAAAAAACAAACTCATTGAAATTTAATGAATGTATGACAACATTTATTGGCATAGGACTGGGCGATGACTTAGCAACATCAAATGAAGATATTTCATGCTAAGAAGAAAATATGGTCATCTCATGGAATTATGAACTTCTCATAAGATAAAATAAAGCTTTTTAAAGTCTATATGGAGATATGAACAACTGGTCACGAGTTCCAAGAGAATTGAATATTGAACCGTAGTATACCATGACCTCACCTGTCTTACTCTCAAGCTCCTCCGCTATTGCTCTATAAGAGAGCTTCTGTAACGCCACCAACAAGTCAAGGTACCACACTTGATACTTTAATGGTTTCTTGCACAAGGTATCAAGGAGCTTCTCCAGTCTCGATTCCTTATCCTCAAGTATATTCTTAATATCGTCTTCTGTGATGTATCTTTTAAGGTGCGTGCACACGTGTTGCACAGGGATTCCTACAAGGAGACTTCTGCGAGTTTCGATGAACCTGGAAAAAAGATTATGTGAATTTCTTCAGCACCCAATGAGCGCACGCTAATAAGCAATGGCGTAACGATTGTATTGGAGGAAAATTCAGAACAGCGGCATGTAGAATATCCCTGGATCTCTATGTTGAAATGGGTGTGTCATTTTTCAGAGAGGCAACGAAGCTATTCTCTCATGAATAGGTCAGATTAAAGAGATTCGTACTAAATCATATAGGGCCACTGATGATGGTTCCCAAATGCTAAAAATTGAAATGTATATTTTGCCTTTCAAAACATTAAAAGCTATTTCATAATATTGTGTAGCGGAATTATGGGTAATGTGTCTCGCGTAGGAAATCACTGTGACCCTTATATAAGAATCATCTAATCATCTAATAAGAATCATCTGAATTTTGCTTTGTTATTCCAGGTCTCAATGTCTGCATTGGTAATTGTGAGCGAAAAATACTCACTCACGAAATAATAGCTTTTCCATAAGAATACGGTGCTGAACTTGGCACACAATTGCTTTAAAGTTCTTAAAACTAAGACAATTTCCACCATTAGCAACATGAGACGATGATGTTCTTTTCAATGGTTGACCGCCGACACGAATGATCGCTATAGGTCCTAACGGTTGATTTATACGTTGCTCACTTCAGTTAAATATTGTAAATTTTAAGTTGCCAATCTGCTCTGGTGGAGTAATTTGATTCCGATTTAAATCATGTTTACATCGAACCTTCAAGTGGGAAAACAATATATATTTTTAAAGATAAATGACAATGATCTGGTCGTCATTTAAAAATCTTTCCTGCGAGTTTTTTTCCCTTGATATCCATATTTTGACAACGAAAATACTTACTGAAGTGCTTCCTGCTGTCACTGTCCTCCTGCACCTGATGAAAGGAAATATGTTTATGGCAGAAAATGATGGGAAACATGAGACATGGAAGGGGAGCATTCTTGAGGTAAACGCTTCTCTCTTCCATGCTCCAAGAGGTTACATTTGTTCCTCTAAGTGGTTTTCAATACTCATGAGGCTTGGTATGGAGCAAAAGAGGCAACATCGTCAGTATTTGAATGGATACCTGCACTAAAGTCAATCAGATTTATAACAACGGGAAGTTGTCATAGAGTGCATTATTCCCTGCCTCCCCATCAGATGTCGGGCTTCGGGCAAACAAAATCGCTATGAAAAAAAGACTCATAAATGAAACGCACATAGGTCGCGCTTTCGGCCCTCAAAACTGAAAATGCAATTTTGCTATTACTGGCACTGGAATTACGATGCAATCACTGTCAATGAAAATAGGCATGTGTGAGGGAAATTTTTCTGGTTTCTACGAGCCTTACCCTTCTGAAAAAATACCTCACTACAAACTCATGCAGTCTCATGAGGCCTCACGACTTTCTCATGAGGTTGTCGGAATATCTCATGAGGAAATACTCATGATGCAATCTTCATGAGGTACTTAACGAGGTCTCACAACCTTCTCATGACAATTATGCGGTTCCTCATGAGGCTTTGAAACGTCCCCATGAGACTTCTTGAGACCTCTTGTTCGAAAACCACATGAGGATCTCGTGAGGTTTCTTCTGCATTGCACAACCGACGCGAGAAGGCGATTGTAAAGCCTCTGTGATGAGATACATGCCCTGATCTCATTGGAACACCTCTACTTACTCACCAAGTTGTTAGCATTTTTATTTCTACATTGAACAATATCAAGAATATTTGATTTTCACTTGTTGGAAGAGTGAGCCTGTTTTGGCTGACTTAATACAATTCTGGCCTACAAGATGGAATGACACATTGAGGATGGAATAAATGATAGTTGTTTAACTATATATATTCTTTCATATATGATTACTTCTCCTTTAAGGATTCGTGGAACCTTCCAAGCTGAGTCGCAAGAGACTTTTTGTGGCTATTGGGCCTCAAGGCAAATGGCGCCTCTATGCAAAACCCCCATGAAGTCAACCTCATGAGAAATCTATTTCAAACCTCATGTGGCCATTCTCATGAGACCTCTGTCCGAAAACCTCATGTGAATCTCATGAGTTTTCCTTTGGAGATTCACATGAGGTTTTTTCAGCAGGGTAGTATGCGACAACCTCTATTTCCTTCAGTTTTGTCTTGACTGCTGAACAAATTTTTCAGGAATGTAGGTCCTTTATCACCGTGAAGTACTCGTTGCCTAAATATTGAAATAATTGGAATATCTCGTTGAAATCATGGGTAATAGGTTTATTGCAGCGACTTCGTGCATCAACACGATATTGAATTAGACGATTCAGTAGAATGCTGCCGATCTGAATGTTCTACCTGGGCAAAGTCTTTTCATATCCAAGCTGAAACTTCAAGTGGAATTAGATTGGAATCAGTTCGAGATCTGCTCTAAAACTATGTTCTCAATAATGTGACATACGTCAGAGATTTGGAAGTCATTATTCTCCATTGAAGGTAATTTCATCTCCGATTGAAGATAATTGCTTACCGGAAAGCTCTTTTATGATGTCGCTTCTGTCCATTTCGTTCAGAATTTCAAGAAGGGCTATGTACGTCTGTGCAGGGTCTCTCATTGAAAGATCGGAGAAAACACACTCAATTTGTTCATTGTATTTACCCATCGCTCTCAGCTCCTTTTGCTTCATTGGCGGAATTAGATTCTTTTCGACTAGTTCGTCGAGAAAATAGTCAAAATCGATTTCCACTTGTCTCTTGATGAGGAGCTTCATTTTCCTTAGTTCACTTCAGTAATCCATTGGTCACCAAAGACCTTCTTCTATCTGCAGAATCCATTTAATTGAAAAGTAATTGGTAAAAAAAAATGTTACATGATATCCTAAATAAAAATTGTTATTCAACACAGCTAAAACAAAGATAAACTTCCTAAACGCAATCTATTTCAGGATCATCCTGTCATCGACTTCTGTGGTCCTCAAGGGACCACAGCTGACAAGGGACTGTCAATACCCCATTCCTGTAGCATTATCCATAGCATTGTTTTCTTTGAGACTACCGAAGCTAGTTTACCGATAGTGCCTTCTCAATTTCGAGCAGTTGAAGAAGTCTATCCAATGTGTAGCGCAGTGCTTCAGCGTCAATGCAGCAAGCATCAGAAGAACGCCATTTCGAGCATGACCTGCAAAAACATATAGTTCATGTAGATTATCTGTCGTTACCCAACTAGCTCTTCCCGTTACGCTGGTATCCGATATTTCCTGCTCATTTTTTTCTACAGTCATCATTCAAATTAACATGTACCGCCTTGAAATGCCTAGTTTCGATCATGTATAGCTTTACGAACTCTGTACCAGTAACGAGTCTCTTATAAAGAACGATGACGTGATCATCGTTTGCCCCACCAAATATTCAAAATGCAAGCTAAAAGCTACAAGCTTGTGAGTCTTGTGAGACTCATGAGGTGCATTATACTGATTGTGCATTCTTCCTCAATTTCACTTAACACTGCTGTCATGACTGCATGACAAGCTTCTGGTAGGATGATGAATAGTACATGCGCCGACGCTCTGAGAGGATTAGGTTCAAAATTCCTTTCTGACACGTCAACATTGATTAGTTTCTTGGGAAAAGCGTCAGGTAAAGGAAGAAACCGGAAACTTTCGAGAGAAGCAATTCAATCGGCTTCATTCCACGGTTCACCCTCGAGAAACTAATGCTCCCAACGACCTCGACGGAGGAGAGAGGAAAACAATTTTAAAATATAAACAAGACAGAAAATGCGAAAGGGACTGAACCACTCAACAGAGAAATAAAAAATACTGCATTTTAAAAATTTTACTCTTGTAGGTTTCGAGTACTGTATGCTGTCCTTACCTTCATACTCTAGCCCGTTTGGCGCAGGTAAGTCTTCATTGCGATAATGTCGTTCTTGCTTCTATTTAACATACTATGTCTGGGTCAATCAAAGAAAAGTCGCAAATTGTGCAAAGTCTTATGAATCCGTTTTTTTGAGAATGTATTGTTTGGAGAAGAGAAGACTGTGTAAAATACGCCGAAATAGGCGCTCCCTTTTTGGTGAATTCGAAACATTCAAGTCTCGATTGTGCCGACTATGAATGGTTGTTCTCGTTGGCATGGACGATGTTAATAGTTCAAACCTGGGACATCATCTGTGCAATCGACTAAGAAAATCTGCTGCTACTGCCTTTTTGGTGGAAGACCGCAAAAGATGCATCAGTATCATCCAAACAAGCTATTCATTCTTCACGAAACACCAATCATATTTGATCCAGCACCAACACTTTCTGTTCCGGGCCTCCTCGCTTTCTGCTAGTCTATTTCTCCATGGACCTTCCATCGTTATCACAATCGCTTCTGTTACACTCGCCACATGTGCTGCATTTTCTCACCATGCAAAGGCCAAATCGGCCAGAATATGGTGAAGGTAAAATATTATTGTCTATTACGATGATTATAATCGTAGTAGTTTAACCCCCATCAGCGGTGGCAGCAGCAGCGGCAATCGGTCTTTGGTGTTGGCTTTTCGAGCTGATAAAAAAGGGGAATAAAAATTAGAAACCACCTCATGGCATGTCCATTTATCGTTTCGTAAGTAGACAGAAGTAGGAGAGAATGGGGATCCAATCTATCTTCTCTCGTACTGCTGCTGTTCTCTTCCTCGTACTCTCCAGCACAACAGTAAACAGGAGTAGGAGGAGCCACACATCATCGTCTCCTCATCAAACAAAGAAGGATGGATTAAGATGGGTTCCATGTCGAGATGATGACGAGGGCAAGATTTCGAAGAAACGAATACAAGAATGGCAATCACGGAGATAAGTGGAGATAACAGTAGTCAACTGTCACCCTCCATATGTTTTCAATGTTTCCTCTCCAAACGATATTCCAAGTATAGTAGCAATAAAAACATGCTTGCAGATACGGTCAAAAACTACAACTTCAAGTTTGCATGACCATTGGCTTATTCGATCAGTTTCCACCAATCTATCAGCCAGCCATTAATTGAGTCAGATACTGGATGTCAAAATAATGAAGATAGTACAAATCCATGAGCTCAATAATGTAAAATCATAGTCATAAAACTTGCCTGGCTACGAATGAGATGGTTTAAGGTGGATTCAGACGTAAGGAGTGTACCTGCTTCGTAAATCACTAGGTCAGAGCTGATCGGAGCTGAAGACAGGGTAATACTCCTATCTCGGAAAATACATGCAATTCAAGTTGACACAAATGTTGACAAGAGCATATTGCTGTATGAAGGTCCACAACATGATACAGAATAACTATGAGGTCAGTTTTCACCTGAAAGTGCCTGGTTCCTCTATTCAGCATGAAAGATACCAGGACGCAGGGCACTTTTTATCATGGAGGTTCTTGCGTAGGTCCAAAAAACCCGCTCGAGAGAGATAACAACTCATATCAACTTCTCACAATTACAGGGTGGGTAAAGAAAAGAGAGAGAGAGAGGGAGAGATCTGTCATACTTCATGACAATTTTCTTAATAGTTTCCTGCAATTGGATACATTCTCTCTATGGCGTATTCATTCCGCTTCCCACTGGTGTAAAAAAAAAGTTACAATCCATGACGCTGTTGGCATGTTGTTATGGAAAGTTAATCAGAAGCAGCACCTTGAAAATGTACTTCGGATTCCTCTTGGTGATGTGGTCTGGCGACATCCACGCCTACAATACCATCTGATTAGGATTTTGTTCATAGCTTATTTGCAGTTTCGAGGTCTCAGATCGAGGCATGCGATTTTCTGCTTGTATGACCTCAGAATGTAGTGTCTTTTCAGCGGACGTAATCCAGAGAGAAAAAAAGGCAAGTAGCTTCCACCAGACCACAATACATCATTCAATAACTCTCAATCACCTAGTACGCTCTTCAATGATGGTTTTCAAGGGAAAACTCGCTGTTGATTGACTTTTATCGGTTTTCGGACTCACGGAACGGGAACAGCTGCAGTTATTCCCCCATAATTCGTCAGTTGAACATACTGTTATTTTTGTACGATAGGTGAAATGCCCATGTATGGGTTGTTCGGCATTTGAACGATGGTTCATTCCGTGTATACCGGAAAGTCTTAAGTCCTCAAGGAGTTGACTTCAAGAAACTCCGAAAGATCCAAGTTCTTAATTTAAAAAAAAGCTTTGATGGCCTGATCACAAGGCAACATTTTTCCAAACGCGTGATGGAATCGCTACTGGTAATATTCCGCACCAATGTTTAGCATTTCATCATTGAATCTCAAAAGTGCATTTAACCACAAACATCCCCTTCCTTATTCATCGCATATTTATATTCATTTATCGCATAGGCATATTGCCACATCGTCCGCAACTGTGTTGGACAAAGATACACAACGAATTAAATTGTTTTCCTTGATTAAGAAACATTTTTATTCAAGGCATTGGTAGAAGATCAGAAAAGAGCCAAAGAATGTGAGGCTTTCCATGATAAACGTTTGCTGCGACTGTTCCTTGGAACTCAGTACCGAGATCGGGATCGCAAAACCGTTGGAGCGCGCAAAAGATGAAGGAAGACGAGGGCGCATTGTTTCTAGTGGTTCCCAACGAAAAGTAAAGGCCAAGTTTCGTGATATACACTTGATGTCCATTCCAGCGTCAAGGTAATGGAAACACATATTCCAAAAATTATAATTTTAGTTCCAACCCACTCCTCCCGCTCCAACGCAATCGCCAATCCTACCATATGCTGTATGCGTGCATCTTTAAATGTAAGAATATGCAATGCAATATGTAATATTGTCAATTAAAGAGGAAATACTTTTAAATGTCATTTTCTCCAGCATGCCTGCATTTTCTTCCTTTTGATTCTTCCTTCCTTCATAGATATGTCCAACCAATCACCATCCAAATAGTTTGCGACTGTCGCACAATGGCATGCAAGAGTGACACGATAGTTCCATTGTGAAAAAATCATAGTTGAAATAACCTTTTCTCATACAAAATCCCACTCACAAATCTCAGGACCATACATATGCATGGAATCTATTGGAATTTTTGTGCAATTGCTTTATACTTGCTTGAAGTCCACATGTTTATTGTCCTTCTTCTACAGTTGCCTTCGATGACGCTCTATATATATATTTCAAGTATTTTACATTCCCTAGATGAATTCAACTTTTTCCCAAGGGTAAAATGAAGACTATAGACGTTTAGATAGACCTCTACTCTTCGGTGAGAAAACAGTTCCTAATTTCTTCTCCTGCTCTTGATCTTGGAGAACAAGAGTATACCTTCCAAAACATAGACATCCACTTCAGGGAAAATTTCGAGCCATTTCCCTTCTGAAGAAGGATAAAATGTCTGGACGTACTTGAAAGTTTCCAGCCAACCATGAAAGAAATTAACTGTTCTATTCTGAGAGTGATAGAAATTCCTGATTTCATTTTTTTCACATATTAGATTAATTTCACGCCACACTCATGAACTCGCCTAAAAACCCACTGATTTTGACTGCAGAAACTCCCCATTCTATCGTTGCTGTGCATGTTCCTCGTGGCTCCTGTTTTTTTTTTGTTTCCCAGAAGCATAACTTTCAGCTGGATTTAATCCTATTGGAGCACTCTACCCGAAGAAAGATGAAAAAATGCAAACGAAAGCCTAAATTATGTACTTTGATCATGTTTTTTTTTTTAAATTCAAGTTGAAATTATTCAAATACATTTTTGGCATGTACGAGTACCATTCCCCTGATCCAAAAATGCGCAGGAAGCAGTGTGCATATGTTATAAGAAAGTCCATGTCTCATTCGAGCTGATCAGGGACGCCGACGATTAATTAATTGCTTTCCACTACTGGAACAAGCTTCTGAAATGGTTGGCTTCCCATGTGGTTCAAAGTTAGTGATAAATGTAGCCCACGAGGCAGAAAGGAATGGACCTATCACAAATTTTCCTCCAAATGCCTCCCTTATTTGCGGATATCTTGCAATCCACACGAATTATCTTTCCAATGTGAGCAAAGAAAATTAACTGGAACTGCCAGTTCCCCAATGAAACCTTCGTGACTTCCAGATCACGTCAAATGGAATAACATTCAAGTAACACACATTCTTCAAATTCGAACACCAAGGTATCGGAGGAAGAAAAGAGTTTCTTCCTTGAATGTGAGTATTTCAATTCATATGTGAATTTTGAGCGATTTCTGTATTGTAGCATTTTCATTTGTAAGAATGAAGTGGAATATGAAGAACCTGCCCTGCCATCAGAGACCTTGAGTATAGTAGCTTTCAGACCCAACCCACAAGTGGGATAGTGGGGTTGGGAGGGGGGGTGGTCAACAATCGAATTTCGAGTCGGGTACAGCTCATTAATTGGATTAGATCGATTGGACGCGCGGTTCGAAAATGAAGCCCATATAGACCTCAATCGGCAGCCAGACACGAAAGAGTTTTGCATTATCATTACATAGTGGCGTCATTCTCAGACCGGGGAAAGGAGATGAATGTTTGGCATTGCTGCAAAGTACAATATATCTCTTACATTTTAATGTCCCTACACTAATGCAGTGTTAAATGAGGGATTTTGCCATTGTGAGATGCGCAATATTATTATCGCTAAAGGACGATCGACGGAAGATGAGGGGATGGGTCACCAGGGGCCAAAGGGAAGAATAGAGCTCCCTTAGCCCCCTTCATCCTTGAAAAATTGAAAAACAACCTAAGTAAAATATCCCTAAAGCATTTTAGTTTCCTCTTCTCATCGTCAAACCTGGAAAACCTTCAACATTTTAAGATTCATACCCTCAAGGCACGATCCCAAGTAACACATAACATTGAAGCAACATTAATTCAATGTGGATTCAGCAACCGGAGGTTGAAACATCGTTGAATCAATGTTGATTCAATGTTGTCTGCTACTAGGGATTTATTAGCAGTGACATTTCCAAAAAAAAAGTCCGTTGTAACGAAACGAAGAGGCTTAGATGGCTTAAAATTGTTATACAAGTAAGTATGGAAGAAGTCTCATATTCCTTCTTCCAAGATGAGTATCTTCGTCATGCTGTCAACACGAACTTCCACAATATAACTATGGCAAACACCAAATGTCGGAACATCATAATTTTTAGGAAAAAAGCAGTGGAACTCATTTTAAAAAAATGGGCATCATGCAGCCACTATTACTCCAACGAGTATATCCGACACATCAATGTATTCCGTATTTGATAATAATCCAATGGATTTAGTTTCGGCACAGTAATATAAATTCCAGGTGTGGTTGGGAGAGGCTGTTTAGGCAACTACCTTTGATTAAGTCAGATTAGGCTTGTTAAAGGGAATTTAGTCGAATTTCTCTGCAATAAGTGAATTTCAATGCTCATGGGATTTCTTCCTATTCATTTATTCAAATACATGCAACTTACCTTTCCAGTGAAGTAAATATATTTCACATCACCTCCTGATTCGCTCATATAATTTATACCACATACCGCTGTAAGGAAGACCCCAATTTTTCCTTACCGAGTAAGGAAGTATAGGGGGAAACATTTCAGGAAATAAATGGATGCCACTCATCGACTTCCTCCTCAAAGGAAATCCCCATTGAGAACAAAGTCCATGAATAGCATCCAAATCTGCACGTTCTTCACACATCACAAAAATCCAATAGTGGCTTGTTTTCATGTAACTGTCATGCCAGAAAAGGTGCTTTGTCCAGTCTTCATCCAAATCTGCATCCTGGAAAACAGGAGATCTAGGAGATCCTGGGACCCCAGGAGTGCAAGAAAATGTTTTACTCATTTTCTCAACAATTCTCTTCTCCATCTCCTCCACTTCCTCTCTCCTCACATTAGAGTGTGAATAGATATGGATGACAAGAAGCTTCCATTTCTTGTTCTTCTCTATGAACGTGACGAGATCTTTCTGCGAGAGGATCATAGGTCGGTACATTCGCACCTAGTAAAAAAGGGTATTATGACATGAGAGATATAACCACAAATACTCCCATCACGCACAACTTGGGATGGCTCCACTTCACCCATTGCAATCCAAGAGGACCTATCCCTAACACTACCTACCAATCCGCTTTCCACCCCAACTTTCCCCAAACATCTCCCTTTCCCTTCATGTTATCCTCCTTACAGCTCCTTTGGCCTTTTCACTCTCCCTATTGCCCATCTCCTTTCTGTATCACCTCCCCCTCTTCCATCTCCCTTCCTTTCGCTTTAATACGAGCGGGGTAAGATAAAAAGATGCACTTAAAGAGTTCGGTGTCATTTCCCTCGTCGTTCAAGGTGATTTCGCCTAGCAAAGCCACCCTGCTGTTCATCCATCCTGTTCATCAATCCATGCTGTTCCATGTGCATGAGCCTCAACTCTGTCTTTCAGGGTAACCCCAATGTTCCCAGCTGCATCAGCATCAAGAGTTCCCTGGCCATTCCGCATTTTAAAAAAAAATCAATCACTGAGTCTTTCGGTAAATGCCGTGTTGTAAAAGCTTTGAAAAAAAAGGCTTCAGTAGACAGAAGCTGAAAATGTAATCTTTTTCGAAATCAACGAACAGATAATGAATTCAGATAGTTGAATTAATTCGTCATTGGAAATTGGCAAAAATCTCCACTTTTTCATTGTAGTGATAAAGTGCGAACAAAGTTCACGTAGCTGTAGTAAAACGATTTGCAACGACGAATTACCGAGGCTATCGCTGCTATACCTGTGGATATGTTGTCTCGTGTATGGACTGAGGTGGAATATCGTTTTTACGCCTGCTGAGCTGTCAATGATGCGCACATTGAAGTGTACTGATTACTACCAAAATTTGAATCTATGACGCGTTGATCTGAAGAAACAAAAATGTATAACGTTTACTCATTGAATAAACATTCATTTTCGAAACTCCGTTCTTTTTCGGACACCCTGTATAGATGTTTTCCAAGCTCCTATAGTTTAGGCTGTGGAGGGGGGCTATCAAACTGGTGTCCACAAACCGGAACCAGGTCGTCCACAACTAGGAACCATGTGAAAATCAACACATATCCATTTAAAATTCTATTGTTGGAAAAGTATATTTTAAATATTTTATTTTAGGGTATGGGCGTCAAACTGTGATAAGAGGTCTCCCATTGAAACCAATCAAGTGGTTTCTCGGTTACCCCAACGACCATAATACAATTTTCAAGAGTAAAATTTCCTTAACCCGTGCACAAACTAATGCCTTTACCCTATGTAAATTATCGACTGCATCAAGGAATACAGCTGAAACTAAAACTTACCCACAGGGAATGAGAAAATGGAAGGTCGATCAAGAAGAAATAACGTTCATCTGCTTTGAGAAACACGAAGTATGAGTTGATCGGAGTCACAGACCCATCATTAAATCGATGATATTAATGAAAGCAGCCACAATTGATGTCGTGAAACGAGGTGGCATCCCCATCGTGCTAGATGAATAATTGCAGTGACACCGATTTGCTGCGATATCCGCATTCACAATGCAACAGTCTGCTACCTCAATGTAGAACGAATATCCCCTTGCTTCTTATCTCTTATAGACAATCGTGTAGGATCTAGAATTCTCCTGCCTTAGATAAGATAGAATATCAACTTCCCTACGTAGCGTTGTGGTTGACTCATCAGACTGAACTCCATAGGGAAAGCGATATTTCGAACGGACGGAGTTACACTGCCGTCTATGATCGTCATGAAACTGATCGGTTTATTATTAGGCTAACTTTTTATTTTAAAATTTAATTAAAAACTGCTGGCATGACTGCATAACGAGCTCCCGTTAGTTACCACGAGTAGTCCGATCCCTCCTAACTTTTCCGTCTTGGTAAATGTGGAATCGGGTGTGCTCCCTTAGTCTTTATTTTCTAACCATGCGAGACTTCAATCCAATTATGTCTCTCTTGCAAGGAATGACTTCTACTTCATAGAAATAGTAAAGATCCTGCTTATATTTCTGAAATGTATATATATAAAAACATTTCGAATCATGTATTCCCTGAATGACGAGAATTCATCGATTAAGTGAACTGGATATTTCCAAGGAAAGGGTTCAATGAACGTCTTTTTCAGGATTCATCCTACATGCAATTTACGTCTTGGATACGTTCTTTTCATGACTTAAATTGCATTCAGTCCAATTAAAGTCCAGATCCCATGGCAGAAGTCAGAGGGCATCGCGTACCTGATTGATCTAGTTGGAAACACAATATTCCCTTTTTCTGGGATAGGCTGGTGAGGTAGCATGTGGTAATCAATAGACGCTTCCGCGCCTATTACCTTTCTTCAGCCCCTCAGAACCCAGAAAAATTCAACCTCCTCTTATTCCTCTCTTTTGGAAGCGCTTTTGGAAGATGTAAATTTCATTCCGTTTCCTCCGCCCCCTATTGGATAGTCACTCCTGGGGGGGGCTTTGGAGGAAAGAGAAAGATACTGATTGAGAGATGATACCATGAGAAAGATACTGATTATTAGTTGATGAAAGTAGTTGCCTAGTAGTAGCCTTCATGTTGTTTACGATGCACCATTTCGCCGTGAGAAGTGAAATTAGCTGTCTTTCAATAGCCTTAGATTACTGGCTCCGTTGCCGTTCCCCAGTGCTGGCGGAAATCATGCCAGATACAAGACTACTGCAACCTTCGTAGGCTTCTACAGGGTGCCCAACAGGAAACCAAAGGATTTATTTTGTATTAAGGATTTATTCAAGATTATCAACAAAGTATATACAAATATTCTACGAGATGAAATATTATTTAAATATATATAAATATAATTAGAAATATTATACTAGATGTATACTTGTCGATAGAAAGCATAATTTCGTTGTCAAAGGCGTGCTAATTGCAATGATTTGGTTTTCTACTGGGCACCCTGTAGATCATCTGTTTATTTTTTTGTGTTTCAGACATTTTTGTGCAGAGTTCATCATCTTCACAATCTGTTCAACGTCCCATTAAGTGGCCTTTGCAATTGAACCTTGCTCCCTCTACCTTTCAAGCCAGAGTTTTCTGGAGACTCCTTGAACTGGGTTACCGAGACAGACGGATTTGTTGCAGGACTCAAATATCTTCCCCTTCGATACATTTGGAGAAAGATCGGCTAACACGTGGAACGTATTGGGGACTAATTCCAGCTGAATTAGGAATTGGTCCGCTATAGTGACTACTTTAACGTCATCTAGCGTCGGTTGTGCGAACCTATGGTTCAAGTTGGTCAGTTGGATACCATAGATATGGTTTAGGAAAAGATATATTTAACTGTCAACGAATGTCCTTCAAATGCAGCGTGTGTTGTGATCAATGGGCACCATAACTGAGCGCCAAAAAGGTACTCTGCCATGTACATTGATAGTCCAAAAACCTTTTTGAACACACCTCGAACGTCCTCGAGTGCATTCATGAGCTACTTGGGGAATGTCACATGTATAAATCCTGCAGGTCTCGTTTCACCCATGATTATCCTTGGCACCCGCTCATGTGAATGGAGCTTTGTGTCAACAAAGGCGAGTAAAAAGAATTTAGTAAAATTCCCAAACCGAATCAGCAAGGCAACACTGAGAGCGCAGATGTCATTGCAGTTAAACCTGTGCATTCGGCCTCCATATTACGGCCACCTCCTATTTGCGGGCAGAAGTGCTCAGCCTCAAGCGTTTGCTCCATGGGCTCAATGTTGAAAAGCTCTGTTTTATTGGGCCACCTGTCTACCGCGGCGAATGATTTGGAGACCCTCCGTGCTGGCAACTCTTTAATCCGGCCAGAGCATGCGAAGGAAAGATCGTAGGTTCGTTGCCTTCCTCCTTTTCATTTCCCTACCTTGCAGCTTTCCTCCTGTCTTCCCGCTTTTCCTCCCTTTCGCCTCTTTCCACTCCCGAACGGACCCGTCGCTTGGTTGTCAGGGTCACGTCTCCGGAGTTTCGATAGTGAGATAACGATCATCAATAGTGCCGTCCTGCCTCGTGTTCTTCGGTGCATCTTGCACTCTTAAAAACCATGGAGTGTTACGGAGAAGCTTCAGTGCTCTTTGGCAGAGAAGGGGATGCACCTGTCAATTGAAGCGATCACATAGCTCGAAGCATCTCTCCAGGAGCAAGTGTGCTGATGCAAAACGCTTGCGCGTCAAACGAACATTCAATTCTTCCTCACTCTGAAATTATAGTCTCCAAATTTCTGTTGGTGTCCATAGAATAATTAAATCCGCGCAAAATCAGAAGTACAGTACTTTTGTAGCATACTGTGCGTTTAATTTTCCTGAAAAATTGTCTGGTAAGTTTCTCACAGTTTGCCTAGATGATAAAGAGCCCGAGGGGGGGGGGGGGAATCCCCATTCTTAGTCTTTATAGCGGCCACCTTTCAGAACTAGTCACATTTTGGAAAATTGTCTGGTAAGTTTCTCACAGTTTGCCTAGATGATAAAGAGCCCGAGGGGGGGGGGGGGGGAGAATCCCCATTCTTAGTCTTTATAGCGGCCACCTTTCAGAACTAGTCACATTTTGGAAGTCCGCCTCGTGGCCTTATTACACAGTTTTCACTGTATTCAAAGCCCACTTCACCTATGATTCCACGAGGCACGTCAGCACGTCAATGGAGAATGGTGCCCATTGAGTGAAAAAAAGAGTCCCATACTTTACATAGGGCTATAGCTTGAAAGCGGCATACTTCTTGGAGAGCACCTTCCAGCCCTAGCGAGAGTGTTTCCCCGTGCACTCTACAACACACGTTCTCAGTGTCTGCGCAAAGACGCGAGATCAAAACCATGGGGAAATAAATCACCCAAATGTGAAAAATTTGTCCAAGTCTCAGAAATATCAACGATTAGCATCATACATAAGCTCATACGAATAGACAGGGAACATGCAGCAAAGAGCACAATCACGATTCACAAATCATCTTTTTCACTGGAAGCTCCCATCTTCCAAAGAGTGTACTTTTATGTGCTTGCCATCTACCAATGCGACTGCGATATGGGGAAATAATTCAACTCTCGAAGAATTCTCGCGCTCATCTGTTACCTGGGATCGTTTCTCAGCGCTTTCGAAGTACTGAACGCGACGAACTGCCGAATGGCCTCGTATTTCATGAAAGACGCTTGAAATCCTTGGATTCACGGCAGCAGGCGATGGGCACCGCAGTGAGCGATGCGAGTTTTCTACCTAGTACCGCGGCAACTTTCGTCTCCTCCTCCATCCGAATGATGGCGAGACCAGAGCGTTGCCTCCCCCACCTTTCGTGAAGCCGATTTGCGAATTTCATTTCACAATGGCACATACTCTGATGCTTAGAAACATTTCTTTAAAACTCCAAGTTCGTATCTAGAAGCATTTGACCTGTAGAGCAGTCACACACACACACGCAAACATCAAATTACCCAAAAGCACACATTTGTCACTCGGTCTAGATTGCGGAAACTCCTGATTGACCAGTGAGCAATTTATTCATGCATCG